TTGGTTATACAATAATCGCATAATTTTTTTTTCCTGTAGGTTTGTCGAGGTATTAAACTATATTAAGATTATCGCTCATAGTAATAAGGAAGTTGTCTAATATTTTCAAGCTAATACACACTAGAGTTTTAATCTGGACTAATAATGTTTCATGTCCGCAACGGATAATTCGATAATATGTTTTTTTTTTCAAAACGTTTAAACGTCAACGCAGAAGATCCCAAACCCCGTCCTTATATATTTAAAATGTTTTTAGCTGAACAGTATGGGACAGGGCGGTAAAAAAAAAATAAAAAGTCATAAATTATGCGGCCCGTAAGCAGAGTTGGAGAAAGAACGTAATAAAATAAGATATTTCAGTTTAACAAATTTAAAATTTAAAAAAATGACTAAACTATTTTATATAAGGCTAGTTTTTTATATGTTTTAAAAATATAATATAAAATATTTCATATGGTGTATTTAGTTCTTAACTATTTTTTCTTAAAATTTAAGCAATTATTAACACTTAACATAAAAAGGAACATTGTATTGCATTTATTTTATTTTAGTTCTTAACTCATACTATTTTATAACCATAACTTTACTTAATACTTAGGAACTAAGTAATTTATGAATTAAATTCAAATAAACCCCACTTCGTATTTGTTAATATTTAGCATTATATCAGATAAAACAATTATAATAAATTAACGTTAGGTAGATACATTAATGGAATATAAAATTTTGGATCTGTAAAAATTATTTTCTATTAACGATTAATGAAGTTGCAAGTTAAAAATTCTTACGAAAGTAAAAGTAATAAATAAATAAAAAAATTAAGTCTATAACATTTTTATATTTCTTTATCACATAATCACATTCAACTGATAACACAACACAATACATGAAACACTATGGCCGTTTAATTTTCTTTCTCTCGATATTTTTAGCACAATGAAAACAATTCTATCAGCATTATTCAAATGTACCCCATCTTCCCCTACATGTATATATGTATATACTAATTTATATTTAAAGCAGGATTTGCGTACCACCAAAATTAAATATTTGTTGAAAGTTTTGTATTCATCGGCTTATTATTGAAGTTATTTACAAAGTACAATACTAATTGAAAGCGGCATTAAACTAAATTAAACTTGTTGATGTAAAACCTTTAACCGATTTTACAAATGTATTTTATGCAACAACAACGAAAATAAAATACAACTGTTAACATTCTATTGGAAAACTAAATAAACAGTATATTATTATTTCAAAATACGTATTTAAGTATGTAATTTAATAAATGTGTGCCCACGGGTTTTTTAGGTAGATATCATAAAATAAATTGGATTTTATTTTCAAAATAAATTTGTAAAATTCTAATTTGTGGACCCTGCGGTAATCTCAAATCTCTTAAAATTCCTGGCAATTCCCACGGTCATTCTCGTTTATCAACGTGTCTATACACTCGATAAAAAAAGGAGTAGCCCGGGGAGATGGTGAAATTCGGATTACTTTGAAGTGAATTTTACACGGATTTGATGACAACCGGAGGCAGTCGATGGTCATTATTGAATGTAACTCGTTTGGTGTTGTCATATAATTTTGTTAACATTCAACCGCGTTGAGTAATCCGGAGTTCGCCAACCGCGATTTAAGTGTGATTACCCAGAACAATTTCTTTCTGTACAATATTCGTGTGCAGGGTAATTGGTTATCTATGACTCAGTCAATATCTTATATTTGGTCAAGTTGGTCTGAAAAAATGTCTAAAATACCAAACAATCTTTTGTTTGTCAACAATTTTCAGATTAATCCGGTGTATGAATAATGGTTTAATTATCTCCCAGTTTGCTTTAACTACGCGTTTAATAATTGATACAATATTACTAAAAAGTAATTATTTGTGTAGTTTTTTTTTTTTGACAGTTGTTGACTATGTTTGAATTTTAATTACATTACAAATTTTTAATTCAACATTTACATTTTTTGTTATTTTTTTTAGAAGATATAGAGTTGGATCTATTTATAAATCTAGTGAGACGATTTTTCGAAAACAACAATAGTAATGGATACAAAATAATATAGAAAATATATATTTATATGACTCTTTGCGTAAGCCTAATTTACATAAAATGTGTCTATTATATACATGTTTATATATTTATGCGTATGAAATAAATACACTTTATCCAGTTAAAAAATTGTGTTTATTAAATATGTTGTATCTATACTTGTCTAATACTTTATTCAGGATTGATAATATAATGCAATCTTATTTTTTTGGGGACCTTCCTATAGTTAACATTTTTATGAAACGAATTAGGCTTAAAGCTGCCTACACCCGGTCAACAATGAAAATATTTGAAGTTTATGTTGAATGGCTATTGGTTGGGTGTGATAACCACAACCTGGCTTGCGGTTAATACACGATTTTACTCTTTATAATTGCCAGTTATAAAAATAATTTAAAAAAACGAGCTTCAACACTATGATTATAATTATTTTTATCAATTAGAAAAACACACAAAAAAAATGTCTTCATTTATAATTTACAGAATAAAATAAAATGTTAAATACTATAAGAAAGTCTTTTAAAATATAATATAATATTATCTTTAAAGAACGGTTCACAATTTAAATTTAAAAAAATTATTAAACTAAAAAGAAATTAAAAAATACAAATTTCATAACAATTGACAAAATTAAACCACATAAACCAGATTAATGTTAACCATATAAATTTAAAACATATACAGATTAATAAAACGTATATCCAATACACTGGCTGGGTCTTGTTTAACCGATCACCCTGTACGCCTCTGCATTACGCCTCGTCTGGTAGACAATTGAGAATAATTGTTTTTTTTTTTTGTATAAATCAAACTCGTTGAAAAGAAATACACTTTATATCGTTACAACGATCAATGGGGCATAAAAAAAAAGACAATAATCAATGATCGGACAATAGGCGTTATAACGATCTCTATAATCTTCTGCAACGGTCCGAATTCTATTTGTTCTATTCAAACGCGTTTTGTTCCAAACGTCATCGGTCATTGGCTGACGTAAGATTGCATAATAAAAAATTAAAAAATGAATAAATAAAGAATGCTTAACACTTTAACCGCTATTATGCGTACGATTTGCGAGCACCGTGTAATGTATACATTATTTCATATTATGTGTTACACACACGGTCGGCGGATTTTTAATTTTTACGATGAGTGTCGAGTGTCAACAAGAACATTAGCGCACAGCTTCAAAAAAAAATAATAATAATTGGCGGATCATGCTGTTTACTATTGTAGTTTTTTTATGTACAAATTTCCATTACAAAAAAAAATCATAATACAAGACCTTGGCCTTATATAGTATTAATTCGTAGGCAATCGAGTATATATATATATATATATATATTTATATTTACTTTGGATAATATAAGTACTTCTACATACATCTATGTGCAATCGATTATAATGATATTCACGGGAGCGAGTGTGAGCAATAAATTAACCGTATAATTATGTAAGTACACTGTGCAAAACTTCTTAGATAGATTCTCGGCAATTTCTAACGGTTTAAAGTATTGTAAAAAAAAAAAGTTGCACAGCAATGAAAACGAATGGAACGCGTATAATTATTGTACGAATGCCCCAGTAGTTGATTAATTAATTGCAATTAATATTCTTGGGACATTTTTGTGTGTTTATTACACAACGACTGATTATCGGCCAGTAGTGTATATTCTTGTATAATAAATAAATATTTTTTAAATATATATTATACTAATGCTTATTGATGACTTTTTCTCCACAAAATTCCTACCTAAACCGTCCGGTGTACATTTATGGTTTAAAAAAAAGTGCGACGCTGTTTGATTTCCTTGCCAGGAAGTTATTCCAAAAACGCTATAGGTATTTACTGTTTTTCTATAATCCGGACGAGAAAGTCATGAGATAATGTTAATTAATTAACAACCTAAAGTTACATACAACAGCTACATTCGGTTACTCTTCAGCCAATTTAGACAGTCGTAAATTTTGTGGGCACATCATATTAAAAAAAAAAAACTAGGTCATATTTCCTATTTTATTACATAAAACACAACGGCCTATAGTTATATTATGAAAACTTTATACGCCATTGTTCAAGATTTATGTACACGTCTGACGGTAGTCCGACAAACTCACAAGGAAATGCACTCGACGATAAGATGCTATAAGAAAAAACCTAGATAAACTAACGAGATAATGTGTTAATTTATTGCTTTGTCCATTTAATTGTACTTGGAACCAAAAATTTTAACAATAATTATTTCAATAACAATTATCATCGTGACCAGTAAAATCTTAGAATTATAAGAACAAAATATATTGATTTTGTTAAATTGTTAATTTATCAAAAACACAAAAAAAAAAATGTTGCAATTCGGACTAGTTTAATTTTACTTGGGTAACATATTATTTTGATAGGAGGTACTTGTTAAAATATCTTAACATTTTTTCCATAAAAGTCTTATATTATTATGATTGTTAACGATTTGAAAGTAATTTATAATTATAGTCGACTACAACGAAATACCATTAAGCCTTATTATTTTTTAGACCTTATAACTTATAAGCAAACGTCTTAATTAAATGAAAACTTAATTAAAAATTATAAAATTATTATTTCAACTTTGTTTTACGGGTTAGATTTATTAATAAAAGAAAATAATAAAACATAAACCAAGAACAAATCCAGTCCTGTCTGTATACTCTTTTTATTGTCTAAATTCCCTATAAAACATCATAATACATAATAAAATAATTTCTATTATAATTTAATACAACTTAGATTAACGTTTCACTAGACGTTTTACCGTCGATAGAATATTATATACATATATATTTTTTTATGATATAAATATTTTTTTATATATTTATATATTATCTAAAACAAATTTCAATAAAAACGTTTTCGTAAAATTTTGGAAAAATTAATAAATGAAAAAAAATCAATATCTAGGTCTATATAATATGGTTTAAAGGTAAATAAACACATTTTTTTATAAAATGAGATGCGCGTTTAAAATATAATACATAATAATTTCACGTAAAATCACAATATTAAAATCAGTGTCTGTCCCGTAAAATTAACATTCAATAGACACGATATAAAAAAAAACAAATAAAATTTGCTACTTTATTAAGTAAAATAACCATTTTAATTGGAAGACATATGTGCTATTTTATTGTCTGGTACAATAAAATAGTAATTATGTTAGCTTGTTCAATGTACAATAGTATTCACTTTCACGCGTTGTCACCAATCAACGTTCTCCAGTTTGATGTTAAACTGTTTATTCTGATCAAAACCTGCTGTTTACCAAAATATACAAAATTCATTAAGACACTTATATCCATCACCTCGTGTATGACTAGAACACAATATTATATTGTGGATTCGTTTCAACTCACTTTGTGAAGTGTCAGCAGCCGTAGTGGTAGTCGCTAAAAATTGTGGTCGAATGTAGGTTTTCGATTGATTTTTCTAAATACATCAAACAAACGAAATTCCATTAAAATTAAAATATAGTTAACATAGCTGTTTTATAAAATATATATATTATATAAACAATATTAAAAAAAAAATTAGTCAGTTTGGTAAAAAATAAAAATGTATAAAGCTGATTTTGAATATTAAGAGAACGTCTTAGTATTCTATTGTTGTATAATACCAATACATTTTCAACTTTTTAAAGCTTAAAAAACTGCTCCCGTTATAACATACTCTCACGGGTAATAAGTTTATCCCTAAAGTCGTCTAAACATGCTGTTTGCAAGTGACAGGAAAAGTTTGACGCGTCTTCGGTCCAGGTACTTATGCATATATATACATATATAAGCCGATGGAAGTTTGTACTTGAAATAACACTATAACTTACCGTCGACGGTTGAGACGTGTGATTTTTCACGTGCTTTCTCAACGAACTCGGATCGGTGTAACGCTTGTTGCAGCCAAATATCGTGCACGCGTAGGGTTTCTGTAAAATAAAATTATAATATAATGTGAAAAATATGTTTTCATTTCGAAAGATCAAAGTACACAAACAAAATACACACACGGTAAAAAAAATCGTATAATACAAAATATGAACGCCAAAGGCGCAGAATTATGATAATTTCCGCTTTATTCGGCCGGATCGATTATTAATATTTTTTAACGTGGAATTCCAACCGGATGTAACCGGAAACGTGTGTGGCCGACACTTATTCGTTTACAATTTGTTGATAATTACTATTATAGACAAAATATTATTATTATTATTATTATTGTTATTTCTCGTATCGAGACGGCAACCAGCTTATGCAATTCAACAACATCAATGCGTAGGAGACGTGTGCTGTGCGTACATGTCGTCCAAACTGTGTAATAATTGGCATGCAAACCGTCGACAAAAAAAAAAAAAATAATAATAATAAATTAAATTAGAAAGTCACCACACGAATTATTATAACGACATTACATAACGGACCGACTCGACAACGTTTAATGTATAGTACATACACCGCCTATAGTCCCTGCATGTCTTAAATCAAAACGGTGTTTGCCGCCAATAGCAATAATTTTCAATTCCGTGACATAAATCCGTACGGGCTGATTTTAGGTTTTGATCGGGATATAATTTTTTTTTTAGAAATTCATAATCCAAACCGATGCCAAAATAGAAAAATCCACATCAACAGTCGTCGGTCGTGACGATATAAGCAAATCAGTTCCCGGGCCGATATTTAACCTGGTCAATATTAATAGAAGACATTGGTCTTTTTAAATGTTTATATTATATTTTATATATAACCCCATCTCTTAAGTGTGTTGATACCCCGTAAACTTAAGCTTTGTCGATAGATCTCTGGGAAAAAAAAAAATAAATAATAACAACAATTTGAGTATTGTAAAAATAACATAAACAAAAGTGTTTTTAACAATAAAAGCTACAACATTGCATTTATGTTGAGAGAAAACGAGTGTTGTATCCAATCGCCGTGTACCTGTACAACCTAACTGACGCCGACACGTATTCATAATGTTTGTATGTTATTTTTGGTTAAATAATTATTTACACAGAGATAATTATCCCCTCAGGGCCCAGGTTGCCTTTAGATGCGCTCTTATATCGGTGTCACGCGAGTAGAAAAATAAAATTACGCTTTACTAAGTAATAAATTGATACCGTCGACATATTATATTATTAGGTTTGCTTACAATTAGAATAAAAATATATTAAATCTATAAGCACTGAAGGTGTTAAACGCATGTAAAAACGGTGTAATGCCAAGAGAAGGTCGTTGCCGTTTGTTATTTTCTTAGTGGCAGAACTCTTTCCCTTTGACGTTTGTGTGCTGTTGTGTTTGATTTTCGGTAGTATAATATTTCTTTTCCAACCATAGAAATTACAAAAAAAAAAGGGTCTTATTTTATTTGACAATTTTGCGAATAAAACCTATTGGCGCCGAAACGGAATTAAATATTATTATTTGGAAAGTATAATAATAAAAAAAATCAGCTTAGTTATTCTTTATTTCGACCCCCCCCCCCTCCTAAGTCCTTCTCCTTAGTCAAACTATAAGTAGTTCGAATTTTATTTTATCCTAAAATTTGATTCGACCTTTTTAAAAACGACACGCGCTTTCCATTGCAAGATTTTGATATTATATTTATACCGATATCATTTTTTATAACTGTTATAGTTCAGTGTAATTGAAAATATAGTCGAAATGATGGACACTGAAATAATACAATTAGTATTTTTGGTATTTGATTACTATTTACGGATCTATGTCGTCGAAAACAATATTAATAATCAACATTGGACAATAGTTTATTAATTATATCATATGATTGGTTTTGCAAAGACTTTTTTTTATGATTTTTACCTTATTTGTTTGTTCGTTATGTGATGCATACAATAAACTTACAAATAACTTTAAATATTGAAATGGTGACAAAAATCAAAGATTTATATCATATGAAGGCTATTTGGTATGTATTAGATACGGGCTTTTCTTTTAAGATGTTCCCTTTGTAGTTGAAAGTTATAAATGTTTAATCAATTTTTACAAATCTTGTAAAAATCTGCTTCTGATGATATGTTGTGCATTTGATCAATCTACAGAGTGATTCATTAAGCATAACAAACCAATTTTTTAGTTTACGCTATTTTACAATATTACACAATAATATTTTCCAATTTTTATCTTTTATAATTTTTCTATAGCTCTAAACGGTAATGTGTATATTTCATTAAATTTTTTAATTAAAATAATTTGCTGATATTGATAATTTTATAATGTTGTAAAATAATATAAACAAAACGTTTTTCAATTGCAGGTTGTCTTAATTACCCATCTTTATATTATTCAGTCGAAGTAGTTACCTGTTCATAGTGGGTCCTCTGGTGCTTAGCTCTATCCGAACTGTTGCTGAACGCCTTAACGCAACCGACAAACTGACACGCGTACGGCTTTTCTCCAGTATGCGATCTCTGGTGTATTTTCAAATTTTCCAGTCTGGAAAACGCTTTTGAACACCCGGCAAACTATAGGCAAACGAAAAACAAAACAATCAATACATAATAGGTCGTATGTGTACCGCGACACAATCGCCAAACCTAACCTAACCAATTTTAAATAGAAAACGAGTGTCTTATCATTAATAAATCACCTTGGATATACATATGTTTTTTTTTTTTTAAATCATAATTGGTTTCCAAATATTTTATTACTAGTTCAGTGTTTAAAATGGAAATATAGCCGAATAGGTTTGGATCTGGTTTGGTCGAAAGAGGTGCCCCGCCCTTTCATTCAATCATTTCACGTTAACTCCACAACGGCGTGCATGCGCTTTGAATGCTCGCTGTTATGGATTTTCCATCGTCTTCACAGAATTTCCATATTCGTTCAAAGTAAATGTCAATAGCGATCGTCGGGAAACGAATACCGCGTTCGGTTGAAAACGTCTTACATCAAACGTCGACAAATTCAATTTTGCCGGCGAATTCCGTCGCGGGACAGTAGGGAAGATTCGCGGTCAGCCGAGGGGATCCGAGGCCTTTGTTTGAAATCCGTTCGGTAGTAAAACCGACAATGTTACAATTTTACAAGCCCACTACTACTGGCGGGTACAAGTAATCGATACTGAACAACTGAGGCACGGCCGGTCGCTTTAACGTTGGTGCAGGTCAGACCGGGAATAAAAAGGACCAGCCCGAGGGGGCCGTTTGATAATAAATCACTCTGCACACATAGCCTACTTTTATATATATATATATATATATATATATATATCTCGACATGCTCCGGAGAATATCCCAAAAGGGTGGAAACGATATTATTCAGAGAAACGATCCTACGACAACCCTCTGGTCCATAGTGAAAAACTGGCGCGAGGGGAATTCTCCTCCGACGTAATCTGATTAACAATATTGTTCAGCTTATACAGTATACCTCTATCTTTGGATTTGTCCGTTATTTCATACAAGGACATTACGATTTAGAAAAAGGCTTGAGGAAAAACTTAAATCCCTCATTTTTAGCCCACCGCAGAGATCCGAGGTTTGACAGCCAATATAGTCATATTATTTTAGTTATATGATTTTTTTTTAATTCAATTGCAATTTATTTTTATACTTTTGCTTGCTTCGCACTTTTACTTCATTAAATAGACACCACACGTACTACTTATACTACCTTAACGTATATATTTCTGAACTTTTTTTTAATCGAAAAATATTTTGATAATCATTTTTACATTTTATTAACGTTACACCCCTTGCGGACAATAAATACTGGTAGCTCAAGTGCAAAATTAGAAGTTGGCTTAAGTGCCTTAAAATACAAGTCTGTTGTATAAGTGATGTAAATTTATTTAATCGAGACTAAACGAGCAAATCTCACTTTTTTACTTTGGCAAACAAGCTCTTGACATTTTATCTCCAATACGGAGCTGAGTAGGTATTGTTATTACTATACCTAATGTGTTTTTATTTTATGATTTTTTTTTATATTTGTGTCTAGACCCACGATATATTTTAAATACATTTCTTCGTGTGGTAACTTTAAAAATTAAAAATTGTACCCAAAGGTACTTTATTGGACTAAAAATATGAAAAGTTCACCCCCTTCCCTTCAAAATTGAGAAAAACACCCAAAAAATGACATATTTTTCAACTTAAAAATAGTCTAATTAGATCCAAATTTCTATAGAATACTTAGACACTATACTTCAGACATAGTACTACCGATAAACGTTGACAAACCAAATAATATTATAAAGCCTTTTCAGGCTTAAGCCCTGAAAATTAGACTGAAGGTAGATCTAGAACGGAGTTACAACATGCACAATTTTCTTAAAAACTTGTAGTCAAACTTTTTTTATTTTATTAAGGAAAAAAAAATTACACTGACCGTCAATTTCTAGATTGCTATGTGTAAGTAAATCACCAGTCGACAGATATTTGAAAATATTATTTCATCATATTATTGTCAATTACGGCGTATGTGTTACTATAGCAATATATTATTATATACTGACGATCAACCCTAATCGTATCCAACCTAATATCAAAAATACATTTTTAAGCATATTATTGTCATTAAGTATTTTAATTTTCATTATTTTATTACGTTAATTTTTTTTTTTTTACAAAACCAAACACAATTTATGTTCGAATAGTGCCACGTTAGGGTGGACCAAATAGCAAAAATACATTATTAAGCACATTATTGTCATTAAGTACAATGCTTTTATCGGTATTTATATGTCTATCAATGTTATACTTAGGAATTGTACGTCTGTTTTAATCAAACCTTACAAAGCGAATGAAAATCAATGTAAAACAAGTATACATTCTAAACCTACCCTGACCTAACTGTCGGATCTATTGCGGTGTGTATGTAAAATCATTTTGGCATTTTTTTTTCTTTACTTCTTTACAGTTTTTCCGGAGCGCGATCGATTAATATACATTCGAGTTGCGTCGCGGCCGCGGTGTCGAGGGCACAGCGGAACCCTGAGTCACCCCCTCTTTGCAGACACATATAATATATATTTAGATCGAGATGAGCATATATATTGTACGTATATACTATAATATATATGTATATATGTATACACATATTATAGAAGCATAGATGTACACGCACATACCGTGCATTTGTTTGGCTTTTCTCCGGAATGGACGCGCATGTGTATGAGCAACTTGTACCGGGCGTTGAACGGCCGCACACGCCTGGGACACCCTCGCCATTGACACGTGTACTGGGCGCAGGCGCCTCGCGGTGCAGCGTCCACGTGCAGCTTTTCGATATGTCGCACGAGCGGTTCTTGACCTGCGCCTTCCACTCGCACCGTGCACCCTTCCCACTCGCAGGTCCGCACGTCTTCGCGTCCCTCTGTCGCCGCCGCCGCCGCCGCCGCCGTGGCCCTGGGTTCGCCTGGAAAAATACAAACACACACATTGACCATAATATTTAACAACCAACAAGGCAGGGCCGTGTCTGCCGTGTCCAAAGTCTGGGGATCGTCGAGTATACAGGGTGATTGTGGCTAACTACAAAAAAAATTCCGATCGATTTTGATAATATGATATTTTTTAGTGTAAAAATAATAATATCCTTTTGCGGTGGCCGCAATTTGCCTAAAAGCGACACGAAATTAAAAAAAATTTGATTAGCGTTGGGTATTATTTAGGTCGGTTGGGGTTAGATTTGGACAAGACAGGGCTAATGATTTGAGAAATATTTTTTTAAAGAGTACACCTTTGTCAGTTTATTAGCAATGTAAAAACGTGGGTGAATGTGAGGATGTGGTTTTCGTACACCTCACTATCCTGTCAATTATGTTCAGTAACAGGGCCAAGTTTCAAAAATATAGCCCCGGCCCTTATGTGTTTAAGACTTAGCAACTTGAGCTTAAAAAAAATGGTAACGTATAAATTTGGTTATCTTTTTGAATCAAATAAAAATTTGCTAAAAACATCGACTAGTAACGCGCGCAGATATAAATAATACTACACTCCGCCGTTCCTCCCGTCTTCAATTTTAAACTTTAATAACTTAACAAGTCATTGTTCAAAACTGGTTGGGTAGAATGCGTTTCATGATCGATGCGGTAGCTTTAGATCAAAAACAAATTTCTTTATTTAATATGTTTACTATTTTATTTGATACAGTAGCTAAAAAAGAATTTTTAAGAAGCGTTTTGAGATAAAGGATAATAATATCATTGTCCCAAAATGTTGTTTTCTTTAATTTTCATCATGATCCAAATAATACGCATACTAAAAAAAATTGGAATTTCGAGCGCTTAAATAGGAACATAAAAATTTAATTAACTTTTTAAACTAAGAGTAATTTGCTGAAAACGTGACTGGTCGATAACCAGTCAAAATTTAGAGCAAATTATTGTCAATTCAAAAAATATAATATAAAATATCTACGTTACCGTTTAAGTTTCAAAAGTTGATAGAGCTCTGGAATTGGAAAAATACTACAAAAAGATAAAAATTCGAATATTGTGTATAATATTGTAAAATAACGTTAACAATAATGTAAAAAAAAAAAAACTACAAAATGGCGATTGTTTTGTGAAAACACGAGTGTCTTATCCTTAATGAAGCACATTGTAGTTAAGGTCCCCAGGAGGGTTGACAGCCTTGTCGCTAACCCTCCCCCGAATTCAAAATTCCGGAATTAACGTAGCCACTGTCTGTATCCAATGTTCGACAATTATCTACCTACAACAATGTGGTCTAATGTTGATGTTTCGACAATGTTTACATTGTGTAAACACGTATTTGCCCAAGGGTCGGCCGAATGATTTTGCCCCTCCCCTCCCCATACTCTTGCCACCTTTTCCGAAGTAAACATTTGAATTGCTGACCCAAAATGGCGGGGCTGGAACGACAGTAACGAGCAAGTTTATACGGGCAGTTTGAGACACCCTGTGTAAAGACCGTGTACACCACTATTGTAGTAATATATGCGTGCCGGTTCACCCTCGTATAATCGTCGCACGGTTACGGCCGGTCAAGGACCTCGAGCGAGAGGCCCTTTTTGGGGGGAGAAGCTACTGTCAGAGAGGGCATTCACCCCAGAATTGTAATTGAATGTGCGCGTTTACGCCCACGCACGGCAGTTTTCCAATTCGTAGTCCTCCCCTTTGCTTCACAATTCCCGGGACTACCATCCGGGATATGTAATACGTTACAATGTTCATATCGACCGTGTTGCGATGGTCGGAGGGACGGGCGATTCGCCTCAATGTCCTTGGAACACAGCCATGCCCAGGCATAATAAACAACAATATATAGTACACACGGAACGGCGAAAACGACCGTAAAAATAAAAAACGACCGCCATAAAATACTAATAGTATAATGTTATACAGGGTAATTCATTAAGGACATCACACTAATTTTCTCTTAAAATAATTGCACTTTCGTTAGCTGTTTATCTTTTTGTTTCAGAGATTTATCAACTATTAAAACTTAACTGCGAAATTTGTCAAATTTTTTAATTAAGAATGATTTGTGAGTAGTATGATTTTATCTTTGCTCACTCCACGTCCCATCCTAAATGTTAGTCTTAAGTAACATTAAAAGTATTTATTATCCAAACCCCGGGTTTCGACCAGTCAAAATTGTCGGCAAATTATTTAAAATAGTTACCTAAGTATGTACGTTACCATTTAAGTTACAAAAGTTGATAGAGCTCTGGGAAAATATTAAAAAAGGTAAATGTTTGGTCATTTTTTATATTCGCTTCGTTACTCTTTTAATTTATATTTTAAGAGTGTCAAATTAAATTGCTTGTTAGCCGTTACACCTTAAAAATTCTTCGGCTTTATACTTCTTTTATATTGAAACTTATAATGAAAATATATATATAAATTATCTAAAATTAAAAATAGAAATTTTTACAAATTTTAAGCGCGTTTCCAAGTAAAAAGATCCACTTAAAAGTAAATTGGACTTGTATTATGTATGGTCTCTTGAATTTTATCCGTAGAACTTTGATGTTTTCCAAGAAAAACCAAACAAGGCGAAACGTTAAAACCATTAATAAATTGTTTGCTTTTAAAAAGTTCCGTTTTTTTAGTTCTACCTAAAGTGAATGACATTTTTTCAAACCAAACTTTAACATAGAACCTTTGCAAACCGGACGTCTTTATAAATAATGAAAATGGAAACCCCATTTATAATTTAATAAAATAATGCACAGTAATATATTGACGACCGTTTAAAAAGCTATTTTTCTATGTCATTTTTCAGTGACAATCTGCTGTAAAACAAAAGTTAAATAAAAATTTGCAAAAAATCACCACATGTATTTTCATTTGGTGAAAAAAATTACAATACAAGGTAAATTAATTAAAAACTGACAACAATAGACCGAAAACCGTGAGAAATATCTCGAGACTTGACGTTGTGGTTATTGTTATGGTAAAATAGAATTGTAAAATGTTGAAATTTAAATGCTCGTTTCCATTTACCGTTTTCGGTTTGAAAAAATAAATAATAATAAATAAATAAAGCGAGTAAGATTTGCCCGCGGTCTAGCGATTTTCGTTAAAAGCCTATACTGTTATTATTATTATTTGTCTTGTGGCAGATTTACCCGGTCGGTTTAATAAACAGCGACAAAGGCCTTTCAGTGTACGGCGTTATACTGCGTTTGACGGATTGTAATTATAATTATTACTATACAATATTATATTGTTAACGTCGGCAAGTGCGTATTATATTATTATAAATAATATTTGTATTTTGTACATAATTTATATATTAACGAAATAACAATAATGACATCAACGACAACAACAGTTACACAAAACTATATAGGATTAGACCTTAGGACGGATTCTCTAAAGTTTTCCATAATTTTTAAAAAATTTTATTTAGAGTTTCTGCATATAATATAATTTATCTAAACAATTACATATAGTTAAACAATAACAAACGTCAGTCAGTCGTCAGCGCTGAAGATGAACACATTTTTGACGCAGACAGTGTGTTATTTTATGATTAAGTATGATTAAGGTTTTAAATGTTAATTTATTGTATACAACCATCAGTTGCTCAAGTTTTTTCTAGAATAAAAAACGGCCAATAGAATTATACAAAATTACAACAAAACCTAACAGAATACCAGCCTCGGCAATAAAGGAAATTAGGTAATATATAGAATGGGAGGTTCGGAATTGGAATTAGGCATGGAATTGAGAGTAAAAATAATGTTTAAGGATCTAAGAAATTAGCTAACATATCGCGTATAGGAGACAGGGAGGAACACATAAAAAGGACATGAGAAAGATCGCAAATAGACTCCTCAAAGCGAAGAGAACACAGCAGAAGGTGTCAAGTTTTCCATAATATATTATATATTTTTTTTATTGAGCAGTATTCAAGTTTTTCGGTGGAAAAACGAGTTGAACGCCATCCAAAAAGGGTTTTACGACGAATCGTTTCCGACCGATCGTGTCGGCTTAACCTATCGAGTAGATTGTGTTATTGTTTTGTTTTGTTTTTTTTAGTATTATTCGCCCACAGTTCCGAGGAAGTCAATCCGCTGAGCGCCAACAGTTGCTGTCAAATATCAAGGTCGAGGATAAAAAGAAAATTGAAACAAAAAAACATAACGTCGGTTTTCTCCACTTCACGGAAAAACATTGAATCACGGGTATTTTTTTAGCGCCAAACGGTATACAGGGCGATTCGTAAGACACTTGTTTTTTTTTCTTAAGACAATATCAATTTTGTAGTTTGCCTTTTTGAAAATATTTTTGTTTTGTCTTATTTTACGATATTATATAATATAATCATTACTAACTATTTTTTAGTATTTTCCAGAGCTCTATCGACTTTCATAGAAACTTAAACGGTACGCAATAGGAGAATAATGGAAACAACTAATTACCTAACACATAATTATTTTTATTGATTACGTCGTTCGTTTATATTTAATTTAATTTATATAGTTGTAATTTCTAAATAATGTTTAACAGTTTTTTAATTAAAATAATATTAAATCGGACGAATTAGTAATTTTTTATAATTACTGAATTTATAACGAATAATAATTTTCACTTTAAAATAATAAAATATTTGTATTTTATAATCAGCCTAACTGTTTATTAAAATTAATTGGCGCAATATATGTAATTCAATTTTTGAATTAAGAATAATTTTCTAAAAATGTCGACTGGTCGATAACCAGTTTTGGATAAACTACTTTTAAATTGTTGTAACTTTAAAAATAATATTATGTATGTTACAGTTCAAGTTTTAAAAATCGATAGAGCTTTGGACAAATTTGAATATTGTCTAATATTGTAAAATAACATAATATTATGTTAAACTAAAGTGCCTTCAAATAGAAAACCTACAAAATATTTTTGAGAGAAAATGACTGTCTCTTATCCTTAGTAAACCACGTATAACCACGGTATTGCGTCGATCGATTTTGTCCACCGGAAATTGGGCAATAAACTGCGCCTCGAATGTTGTGTAAACTGCGCATGGCAACTACCAGGTATGTAATCCCTACATGACCGTACGATATACTTAAGATTTTTAAGAAATTTCAGGCGAACGTGAAAATCGTCAATTAATCAAAAACGGATTCAAATGTCGTTGTTTGGGCGAATTTTCTTAATATCAAATAAAAATGGAGGCGTACCGCAAGTGTACAACACATTACGATATTATTGAACTGTAAAAGTTTAGTATACTTTATTCTACTAGACTTATATGGGTTCGTACAATATAATATTGTATTATTCACGCCGACCTTGCGTCAAATAAAACGAAAAGCGATATGAAATTTAAAAAAAATATGTGTTTTAGGTTCGTAGGGGGTTAGATTTGGATAAAATTATAGACTAGGTCCAAAGTGATGGAAAAAATAGATGCACTCCTTTAGTATCCATACGAAACATAACTTTGGTCTACCGCGTGTGTACTCACTTTGAAAAACTGATTCCAACGCGACGTCGAACATTGCGCCGCAGTCGTCTCTGGTCATGACCACCTGGAAATGAAATTCTCGTTTAAGGGCGATGCCGATAAGCTGTATACAGTAACAATGCATCCGATTTAACTCACCTGATTGTCGGACACGAGGAAGGAGGCGTGGTCGACGTCGCCGTCCAGGAAAGACACGTCGAACCCGACCAAGTCATCGTCGCCGTCGACCGGTGCTGGTACCGTGTGCCCAAAACTGTCCAAACGTCCCTAGGGATAGGAGAAATATTTTTTTAAAACAAAATATAGTAAACATTTTTTTTCAATCGCACCGAGTCCGCAAACGTCCTTCGTCCCTCGACGACGGGATCAGACAGGAGCTGTTCGTGTCATACTTGTTGGGCGATTTAAAATGCAATCGACGTTAAACGTTTACGACTTGGAAGGCTATAAAACCGTCCCGGTGGGTTTGCAATAATAAGTAATGGCCGTGCTCGGATTAACGACTTTTTGACAGAGTCAGCCGCGACTCTGACATCTCAACCCGACCGATAAACCCCTTCAACGACTTTTACGTTTTAGTAGGCAGTCCGCCGACACAACGGTTTTACGGTCATGTCATTGTCCAACAGTACAATACGATTAAAATCGATTTACGTTTAGAGTTGGTGGCAAAACCACTTTACAGAACAAAACTTGAAACACCAAAGTTTGAAAGTTTTCCGACAGAAAAAATAAGAACGATTGTTTTGTTTATGTAGTACAATTATTGTAGTTTATTGATAAGAAAGTGTGGTAAATAATATGTTTTTCAAAATAAAAAAAATAAAAAAATTGCTGTAAAGTGGTTTTAAACCATCGATTATTTAATATTCAGCTATATATAACTACATTATTTATATTATCATTTATTACAATGTATTTGCAATTAAGACTACATACTATGTTGATGCTAGTGCCATTATTGAGTATGTTATATCGGGTATCGATAAAAAGTGGTATCATCTCATCCCGGATTATTTTGTCCATATTTTACAATGGTTTTTTTACATCTAGATTAATTATGCTTGATTTTTTATGCGATAATACCAATAATAAAAAATGAGAAACGAACACACGGATTGCGATTAATGTTGAGCGAAGGGACATCGGCTATTGTTATGTCATTATATCAGTTTAATACCGTTGTTAAGCTCGCAATCAGTAAGTTGTATTTTTATTGATCTCCAACAAATAACACAACTCCGTTGTGGACAAGTTCACGTTGGTTTTCGGGTAATTCGAGGGGACCAGATTTTACAGGTTTGTCAGCCGTTAATCCTCGATAATTCCTCGCGTAATCATTGGGGTAATTCGCTTTGCGCCCTACACTTGGCCAATTAATGATCATCTGTTGCGTCATCCCTAGCGTTTATTTACTATATAATCTGTCTGTAAAATAATAACAACATGATCGTTAAAGTTGAGTTACAGCCCACATTGTACACACAGCGTTGTGCCACATTAAACAAATATTTATTAGGAACAAGAAGTGTAAACTATATGATACAGCTTTATTGCGACTTGTAAGTTCACAAGTCTCGGCTTAGACGCTGTCGTGGACTAAACCCACTAATGAACCCATTAGTGTTTTACCTTGCCCTAATTGAAAACAAATTAATTTTCTACCGACAGAAAAAGAACAGGTAATGTAAAGCTATTTAAAAAATTCTAATAAAAGCTCACTGCAATTTGTTTTTTAAATTGCAAGTTGGAATTGGAAAAACGGAGTTTGTGGATATATATAAAAAAAACATGAGTCCACCGTTGCGTATGGCTGATGGTAAAAATATTTGCATATTGATTGAATTTTTCCGACCGTCAATGATGTCATATTATTAAAAAGTATATTTTTTGCTTCGATTTCCATCTGATCGTGTGTCAACATGTTTTTATTATTATTTCTGGTGAAATAAGATTTTTCCAGGAAAAGAGTTTTCGAGCATTTTTATACACGAATAATATACTAATAATTCCAATAGCTAACGCGCACTCACATACTTCACACATGCAGAAGTGACATAATATTAACAACCCCTAACTCATGAGCTTTTTAATTAATTATTGTTTTTTCCTAACGTTTTATACATTATAGTTAGACTGGTGTGAGACGACTCCCCGTCAAGTGTACACAATGATATTATTACACTAAAAAAAAATCACGGTATGTTAAGTTAAATCTAAAAAATGTAGATCAGTGATAATGTTTTTAGGCTGACAACATTTCTGTGTTCAAGTTATTTTGCAGTTTTATAAAACGACTTAATTTACCATGACAAGTTTTTTCCATTTTTGAAACTTAAACGGTAACGTACATATTTAATTGACTTTTTAAATTAAGAATCATTTGCTGAAAACTTTGACTGGTTTATCATAAACTGAAATGTCCCCGAAAAGAAAAACTACAAAATTGCAATTATTTCAAGAGAAAACGAATGTCTTATCTTTAATCACTCTGTACTCTGAATTAATGCAGCTAGTTGAGTGATGAAATTTCTCTAAAGCCACACACTTTTAACCCAGCATAAAGCCTAAGTGCTACTATTTTGAAAAACCCCAAGAAAGAAAAACTATATATCGGATTTCTACATTCAAATCAAACCGACTATTTTGTAACTAATCTAACCTATCTCCATAAATATATACATAGGAGTGCATTGCTGAAAATCAAAGTGAATACTAAAAACCTAATTTATATGACTGACGAAAGGTTTGGTTAAACTGTGTGAAAAAATAAGGTAAAAAAAAAAATATCCACAAATAATTGTGTTTGATCATGAGGTTAATGCTAAAAAACTGAAAAAAGGACTGTATACGTTAATCATGACATGAATTGATATTCTAATTGATCCGTTACAGAAAATCTATATTCTTCAACAGCTCTGTTTGCAGGTCAACCATTTGCATAGCACCTCCTTTTGAAAAATCATTTGTATGGTGACGGAGCTACGCCAACACGATGGTCTTATGTATGTCTTATTTTATATTATATGAAATGTTTTTTTTTTCTTTTTAGTTATATGCTGTTCGATATAAAAAATAAAACGTTAAGCCAACATAAGCGTGACATGTGTCTAGTAGCGCGTATCTTCGAAAGAATAAATAATAAATAAATAATTTAAAAAAAAACAAGAAGAAGTCTTTTTAAGTGACTTACTAAACGTATACGGGGTGTCAAACGATTTGACACCAGTCAACCTTAGACCCGGCCAGTCACCATCAATCGAAATCGAAAATCTTAAACCGTGCAATACGTATTTAAACCCATTCTTCGGTATGTGAGCCTACTTTAGAACCTGTAAAATAATTATCTAACGGTAAGTGTATATTCCCGAAGCCCACCAGCTATTGTGTGTATATGTATATATTTGATTAGCTCATTAACGAAACAATGAACTAAGTACTCCTAAAATGTTTGCCGGATAATTTGTGTTTTACATTTTTTTCTTTGGACTGTAGACATAATTTAGAAGTTACACAAATTGACTAGCGTAAATTCGAAGCTGTAAATGGAACCTTATAAACAACGCCCACTTAATTATCAATTAAATTCTACATTGCTTAAAACAGCTATCGACTGGCAACTTATTTTTTTTTTTTACTATATTATTTTTGCTTGAGTAAGCACATAAAACGGGCGATTGTGTTTCGATTTAAAATTCAATACCTCCTCGTTAAAACTTTTCTTTATAAAACTTATAATGGACGGGTTCTGTTACAGCATTGATGGAGTAGCGGTGTACAAAGTACACTGTTTCCCATGTACAGTGCGGTACATCTAAAACACACTCATTTCCCCTTAAAATAATTGCAAATTTGTTAGTTTTTCTTTTTGGAGACACTAGTTTATGTTATTATACAATATTCTAATTTTTATCTTAATTAGTACATTCCAGAGCTTTATCGACTTTTAAACCGACAATAATTGCTGAAAATGTCGACTAGACCAGTTATAACCAGTTTCAGATAATAATTAATAAAGCGTATAAGTCATTATCCAAAACTGGTCACAGACCATTTGCGATTTTCAGCAAGCTATTCTTTAAATTTCAAAAAAAGTCAAACGTTTAAACACATACGTTATTGTTTATGTTTCAAAAGTCGATAGAGCTCTGGATGATATTAAAAAAAAATATAAATATTTTTATTAATTTCATAATATTGTAAAATAACTTGAACAACCATTTGCTCAAAAACGAAAACTGCAAAATTACAATTATTCTAAGAACCCTTATCATATCCGCAACCATTCACCCTGTACATTCACCCCATTTTTGTGCAACACACGGAACGCATCAATTTCGGTGTAGAATTTTTATCAACATTGATGTACCTACTCTTAATGTATTATTTTTCCTTCGAAAATGTTTTCATACAAAATTTAACCACGCCGTTGCAACACATGAAATAATTATATTATTACTTTTCAAGGGTACATACGCCGTCGCCTTTTGTGTCGGATTATATTATTTTATTAACGTCAAACGAAGTGTTACAGGTTTTGTTATAATAATAATAATAATAATACTAATACTAAAATATACGAAGCGAAGAGGTTCGAATGACAATATTGCTTTTGTAATACGATTTCCGACGACACACACCCGAGTGCGTCAATATTAATACACCGGCCGACAATAGCGTCCGTCTAAAATGGTTATTTTATATTCTTAATCTGCTAAACTAATTTCTGAGACAATCAGGACTCGTTTGGACACAGATAACAAAGACACGTGTTACCAGCTGCCTGTCTAACGTTATTATTCCACACTCGGTTTAATGCCGAACAACGCTGTTCGAAGAGTGTCTAAAACATAAGATGCGTTTATTAAACCTACCTTTCCCGTGTATCATTGTCGGGCAAATTGCAAACGGCAATCATAATAATTAATAGCGGTAGTTTATTATATTATGCTGACGAATGATTAATGCAATCACTGTTTTATTACACGATATGGCGTATTTGAAATATTAGGATAACTGACTTTGAAATAATTCGGATAAGTCCCGGAAAAGTTAAAATAGATAATCATATTGTATGGTAACTATTACATTTTTTTAGCCGTTGTCAACATGATCGTCTACTTTTTAAGAACCGTTATCACATAATATTGCAACTATTGCCAAATTATTTGAGTGCCAAATGGCGTACACGTGTACAGTTATTAATTACCATCGATGGTGATTATTTCAATTGCGATTTGCAAAATTAATTTTCGGCGACACTAAAAAAGTAGCTAAATTTTTCACACCGTTGTGTGTACATAAATAATAATAATATGTACCTACGTTTTGCCGTTCAAGGAATTCCAATTAAACGGGACGATAATTACTATTTCGTTGATTTGGGCAAAAAAAAAATCACTTCCACTACGTTGCTTTTGTACAACAGACGAGTATAAAATTTGACGGACTATCAATTAGGTATCCTATTAATATTATTGCTATTATAATTGGCACGCACAATTTGCATAATCCAATTTGCAATTTTCAACTATACATTTTTTTACTCGGAAAACCCAACCGTGCAAAAAATCATATTGTAAAACTGGTTGACGTTTAATTGAAAAACGATTGTGTAAAATATTACAATTCATAGCTTTGATTTTATTCATTTCAGTTTTCGGCGCCACTATTAAATCTATATATTATTGTGATCACCACAGTGCAGATCCATTGGTAAAACTATGACCCAGTCGGGATATCTTAACAGATAATAGCCCTTTTATAATGATGATGATTATTTGTCTGTACAGTTACCTGCAAAATATCTTATCTTGACAACAGCGAAATTTATAAAAATAATGTATGAACAAATATTTTTAAACACACAAAAAACTCTGAACTCAATGCCTTCCGAGCAGTGTTGGGCAGTTGTATTTGAGCACAATAAATCGAATATAAAGTACAGTTTAGTCGGCCTAATTATTTATTTTTAATTACAATATTGTCAATCGTTAGTCGGATTACAATTTCCCCAACACTGGGCCGGGATTAAGCAATGTGCATTATACCAGGCTTATGACTAACAACAGCTGTGACTTAACCCATAGCTCATGGCTTTGATACAAATCACCCGCGTCGCATAGTTTATCAATTATTAGTAAATAGTCCCAATATTCGTGTGATATATTTATTTTTGGTAAAAATTTGTAATTACAATTTAGTTTTTTTTTAGAATTTGATTTTCAATTACTATTTAATCGTGTTGCATTAAACAAACAAAAAATGATAAAATTAAAAACTGTTTTTAAACGATAATTGATATTTTTCAACACTATATCCCCCTTACCCGTGTTAAAACCTATTAATTTAGGATTTTTAAACATAACCTAACCTATTTAAATAAAGTATAATTTTCTTAAAAAAAACCACTGGTCAAAAACCGTTTTTGTATAGTTGTTGATAGCTTTTGATGTTAATAAATTTTAAAAGTAATTATCCAAAACAGGTCGTTACCCATTTCAGCAAGTTATTCTTAATTTGAAAACTTAATACAATCTAAAACGTTATCATTTAAGTTTCCAAAGTTGACAGAGCTCTGGAAAATTGTCTTACATTGTAAACTAACATAAACTAAAGTGTCTCCAAAATGAAAAACTACAGAATTGTGAAAACTAGTGTCTTATCCTTTGTGAAATCCCCCTGTATCGTGTGTAATACAATCTATGACTTTGATTTCTTCCTATTTGTTTTTCGGTGTCATTATTAAATCTGTTTGTTATTGTGCTTATCATAGTATATTTTGACTAGATCTAATGATGGTATTTTTTATGAAGATTTAAAAAACACATCTTGGCGTTTCCACAATGGACTATCACCACACTTAATAACCCGTAACGCACGGCACGATAATATATTATTATTATTGTGTTTATAACCATTTGTCACCCCGAATAGCCCAGCTTGTCACATATAGGGATGTCACGACCCCAACCCTTTATGCTTAATTACCATCACCAACACCAAAATATAATAATATTGTACGACAAGTATAGTTTAACACTCGGCACGACATATGTTTGCCTAAGTGTAGTTTAAATGTATTTAACGCTTCGACTTGTCGTGAACTCGTTTCAGTTTAATCGACTCCGATAAAAATCCGAGTTTAAAGAGATGGTTAATTTTTGTTTTGTTTTGTATTCAACATAAATTGAACATGAATCGATATAGTAAATTTTATCAATTGGCGCCTTGAAAACTTTATTTTCAAACGTTCACAACAGATTATTATAATCGCTGCAAAAGTGAAATCCGAAAGTATCTAATTTTGGGGTTGCTAATAAATGTGACTTGTGACCACAAAAAAAAGGATTTATAAAGTATTTCAAAAAACTTATAAGACAATAAACGTTGATAAATATTATTATAAAAATATATATACATATATATTTATTTAGAAGAAATACGGATTGTATGATATTAGCTGTTTTAAACAAGATTAAACATGATTATTATTTAGTTAATTGTGATACTATCCATATGATTTTAGAGTTAATTTATAGCACAAATTGAGAACTTGTGACTAGACAACTAATTATTTGTATTATTTTGAATATTGTATATATAGGTTTAAAACTTAGTTGTTGAAGCCAGATTTAACTCAATTTAAAAAAAAAACTTAAAAAATAATTAAGCCATATCATACCATACATTTATAAATACTAAAATTCTCTGTTGCTCGCATAAGTTATAAAAATACATTTCTTTTTGTTATTCTATTTTGTCATTAATTTGTTTTATTATTTTTAAACATAATTTTCTGTTAATAAAATATTGTAATAATTATATGATATAAATGATAACTGGTAAGACATTCGTTTAAAATAATTGAATTTTTGTTTTAGTTATGGTGCTGTATTATAAAATTATTAAATATTTACCTGTTTAAGTATTTTCCAGAGTTCTATCAACTTTTTAAACTTAAATGACAATGTGCATATATTTTAATTAACTTTTTCAGCAAATAATTTTTAATTTAACGAGTAAATTAAATATATACGTTGCCGTTTAAGTTTTAGATTGATCGATTTAGAAAATAAATACAAATTAAGGTAAATATTTTAGTAATTACTGTAATAATGTTTTTTACAAAGAAAAACTATAAAACTGTTGTTATTTTCCGAGTAAATAAGTGTCTTACGTAGTAATCACCTGCATACCGGCTTACGCTGTACGGGTAAATCTAAAAATCGTGTACTCACATCCAAGTGTTCGACGTTGGCCGGCGGCGCCAACGTGTACGGCGAACGTAGTCTGATGAGGTCGTCCGCAAAAGTCCTCGTGCCGGGTATCATGGACGGCAACGCGGTGGCCGAGGTGGCCACTTCGTCGTCTGCCGGCGGCCGTTGCTGTTGGCTCAGCCAGGCCGACGACTCGATGGTGTACGGCACGTCGTGGTGTCGCCAATTATGGCCGCCGTCCGAAGAGTCGCCGTCGTCGTCGTCGTCGTACTCGTAATCGTAGGCCTCGTCTTCCGTGGAAAACCGCCTGGAAGACGGCGGCGGCGGCGGCGGCGACGTGTCGTGCGAGCCGCCGTTGTCGTTCAACAGCTCTTCGTCGAACCAGTCCAGTCCCACGTCCTTCATCCAGTCCTGCGGTTCGGCCGCGCCCGAACAATCGTCGAACCACAGCAGACACTGATGGTGATCGTTTTCGATTTTCATGATATAGTCGTTTTGCGACGCGTCTTGTCTTGTCTTGCAACTCGGCCCTGTCGTCTGCGCGTCCCGTTCAACACTGAACCACCGAAGGGACGCTTATTATTATTATTATTATTATTATTACTATTACAATCTTCATTTTTCCCTTCAGCCAACAACACATTTATCATCGGGTCGTCACACGTGATTTTTCACCTCCTCCTCCTCCTCCTCCACCTCCTCCACGATCTCGTCCCTCCACGCTGTGTTACTGCGAGTGTTTAGCTCGCGTTTAAAACCACGTCTTGTGTTGTTTGTATTTTGTTTTTTTTTTAAACATAAGTATATACTTGTTGTAAGTCATGTTTTTTTTTCCACCACCATCTCGATCGGATAATAATAGTCGTCGGACTGCATAGTAATAATACAGTAGTTGTAAAAAAAAAAAAAATTAGTATTACGGTGTAAAGAAGAAGAAGAAGAAAAAAAGTAATGTCGTATCATAATCTCGCGTTGAAAAAAAAAAATACCCAAGTGTTACCATATTATATAATATTATTATTATTACCATATAGTGTGTGTATGTACGCGGAACATGTGCGAGATACGCCAATGGTCGCCCCTTTTTTTAATTTTTTTTTTTTTTTTCTAACCACTGACAATTAATAACACCTCCTACTCCTCTTCCTCTCCGCTCGCAGCCAGCATCGCGTACATTTGGTGACCACAATTATTATCGTGTGTACAAGCTGCCGTTTAACGATATTTCTAACTTTATGACGTGCCCCCCCCCCTTCCATCCTCTTGTACACTAGATTTGCCGTCCGTTCGTAGGAAAGCTCGTAGAAGAGTAAAAAAAAAAAACAGATTTAATATTTTTTTCATTCGTTCCATCTCTTTGATATTAATTTATTTCGACTCGTTAACCGTGTAACGTACACGAGGCACTGGCGAATACATCATACTTACAAATAATATTTAATTAACGACGCGCATATTGTGTGTACAACTCTGTACTTACTCGATAAGTATCTCGGGCTTGGGTACCTCGAGCATGGGAACAAACGCGGTTGTGTATGTGTGTGGTGCCTTGTAATTACACAGTGTACATATGATAAAAAGCCAGGGGTCGAGACATAGTGAGAACGAAGCATATATTGGAAGGCGGGGGAGGTCACGGGGCTAGATGATTTATTACGTGCAACTGAAAGTGATAAAATCACTTTGAAATTAACGCTTCGATGTCAGTCTCTGTAATGGTAGAAAAATGCAAAATATGTCAATTGTTAACGACAACAGTGTGCTTAAAAATGTAGTTTTGTTATTAGGTTGCACACGATTAGAGTCGATCGTCCGTCTATACAAAATATGTATTGCTATAGTTACCCGTGTATATTTTATTGTAAACAGCTGTTAACTGTTGAGTCAGTCGCACAACAATAACGTAAAACATAACTTATTTGTCACTAAGTAGTAGTGATGTATAATTAAATAATAATATGTTAATATATTTCTTTTTATGACTATTGTGCAGGAATGACGACTACTATTTTTCAAGATTTCCATAACTTATATTTGTATTGTAATATTTTTTATTACACCTAAAAGAGTTTTTACTAATATAAGTTACAAATTACTAATTGATTCGACAAACAATATTTCATAGGTCAACTTAATAGTTGACCTATATTTAAGTATATTAAAAAATTGTTTATACGTTCATCGAATACAACTTTTATTGTTAAAATAAAATACCATTTGTTTAAACCTATAGGCTAAACTCTGCCCATTAATATTTTCATTATGTCGACAAATTTATTGTTATTATTAAAATATTCTGTTTTAGTATTATTTGTTAAACATTTAGTCATGTGCAACAGTTCAATCAGTCTGTGTTGGCCAACCATAACCAACGATTGTTAATAATATTATACATGGGCTACTAGAGTAATTGGGATTAGGTACTCATTTATTTGATCTGTTTACTCGTTTCAAAAAAAAATTCTAAAGGCCAAATTTATTTAACTTTAAAATGTATTCAGATATTTGATTACAAAACGTAACCCAAATACACTACTAATATTATATATAGCATACTACAAATAACAACAATAACAATTATTGTATTGTTTATTTTTTAATAGTTTACTAGATTTTATAACTACTCTATTCGATTTGTGTGAAATTCCCTGTTAAGATTAATAAGCAAGAAGAAACGTCTTATCTGTAATCGGAAAAATTGTATTTAGGCTGGGAATTACTTTAGAGTAAAATTTAAACTCGCCTTGTTAATCGAATGCGAACAAATAAATCACTCAGAGTTCAACTAGGGATTTCCTATTTGAATCGGCTTCCATGGATTGAACGGGTGTAGTAAGCCGTAGGAAAAACAAAAAAGTTTTCTCTCGACCGAGACACCGGGTTGAATTTTATAAAATATTATGTACTTAAACTTCTAAGTGTATAACCATGTGTCTGTGGTCGTTTCGGCTGTTGTTGACTTTCATAGGATTTTCCGTCGCGTAGTTTGTGCACGGCCTAATGGATACTCTCGCCGTCTTGAGATATATTCACTTGACAGCAATTATTTGTGTTATTATTGTACAGTTTACACCATCGACTGTAAAATCCGTCAAGTACAGTCACGTACTTTCTTAAATGCTTTCAACGGCTATAGCGCGCACCGCAGTCGAGTGGGTCTGGGATGATTTTTATTATGTTATCATGTTTGCGACAGGGGCTCTATTAGATATTATTATTTTGCCCGAATTTCTCGTCGAATAGTCTCATCGCCGGAGCTATATGCCCATTTTGGTAATGTACGGACGAACGAAGGGGTATGAAAAATACCGACTTATGTAACTCCTGCGCTTGTGGTGTGTATACCGATGAAGGACAGAAAAACTGCTCTTATTGCGGGTCTTATTTCTGGTCACTAGGTCTTTATATCGTGTACGCCGTTAAAACGTTAAAAACCTGACCAAGTGGAAAACAATGAATCCGTAATAATATTAATACAGTCGTACTCGGACATATGTTTCGCCACACACACATTAGGACACGTGCCAAGAGGCTTTATAATATTTTCTTTTTTTTTTCTATATTCGTACACACGTATTATAAGAACGAAAACAATACAACAAAAAAAAAAAAAATTATATTATTACACACACGTCTTACAGCCGCTTCTTTATCGTTTTGTTTGAGCCTGGTAACAAAAAAATATATACATACATATATATTTATACATACATAATATGAATTTTTTTTAAAAGCTATTTAGGGACACGTGTCGTTAAAAAAAAAAACACAGCAGGAGATTTAGCTGTAAAACGATCGAAAAAGGTAGATCAGACGGGCTTGCTGTTCGCCTAGACTTGTCAAGTACCTACTTGAATCACGTCATCGACGAAATAGAAAACCAAAAAGTGACAAGTGAATAGGTATTGCGACCTAAGGTTGAGTAATTAAATTGAAAAATTTAGGGCGGAGTGCGATGTTGAGTAATGCGCACAGATAAAAATAAGTCTACACTCAACCCTTCCTCCGGTCCTGAATTTTTTAATTTTTATTCAAATATGGACCAGTCGAAATTCAAAAATTCATGTATGTTATCATTTCAATTTTAAAAGTTGAGCCAAAAGTCGCAAAATTGGACACATTCTTTTAATTCGGCTGAAAACAAAGCGTTGTTACGTGCCGTTGTTCATCTACGTTTGTCAACATTTCCATTTCAATTTTTCGAACGGCTATATTGAAACTATAAGATAATCTTATAACATTAACCTTTAGATTGTGCGTCATACCTACTACTTACAATCACAACACGGCAAATGGACCGCGTGTACAATCGGTTTCGATTTAGATTTCTCGCGAAATATAATATACTTGAATAATATATATTTGCCTTGACTGCCCTTCGTGTCGTTTTCAATTGGACAGATATATAATATATATCTGAAAAAGAAGAATTTTCCAATAAAACTTAATTTGTTTATATATGCCATTCGACGGACAGTTATAATTTACAATCGAAAGTCCCATTGACGGGGTTTCAGCCGTTTTGTACCAGCCAAATTAGTCATTCGATTTGTCGTGTAAGGCACTTCAAACAAACGTGACTATTATGCAAAAATGTATTTTTGTGAATTACCTATTGTTGAGCAATATATTACAAGAGTTATGACGCCACGGCGGAATATAGTAAATTAGATGTTTTATTTTTTTAATTCACACTTAAGCTTATATAAGAAAAGGAAGTGTTGATTTTACAACAAGGTGTGACCTTGAAGTGTCGAGTCGAGTTTTATCAAGTGTGTAAAGTTGAAAAATCCTTCGAGTTAAAATCCGAGAAACTTTCTCGAGTCTCCGTTACAAGCACTTCTGCAAAATCCCAGATACCTAATTGGATAAAATTTAATTAAATTCAGTAGGCCTTGAAGGTCGAAACAAGTCGCTCCGTGCAATGTTAAACGTAGTGCCAAATAAGTAGTTTCGCATTAACATCACTTCAAACAAATAATGCTGAATTAAATTTGAAAAAAAAAAACAGTAATTTGCTTTACGAGTAGAGTCAAGAACTTAGGGGCTTGTCAAAGATATTTTAATGATGGTTTGTCTAAAAAAATGACATTTCATTTTGGTTTCTTAACTTTGTGTGAACAAAGCGAAACTATTAAAAGAAAAATCTGATTTTTTTTTTTTTTAATTTACATTATCGCCAAATGGCCAACCCTTGTTGAGTGTTCTGACACCAGTAGTGTAATGGACTTCGTTATGTTTGTACATGCGTTGAATTCGGCACGACGTGCGCTCACATACGCTTTTTATAGAACTTGATATTTTTTACTTCCTGGTCGAATATTATATAGTTCTTCTTTTACATATAAATTACACGTGCAAAACCTTTGGTCTATTTAAACATGCACAACGAACCCGAGTTATACAATGGCGTTGGTCAAACAAAAATATATATCCTTAAAAAAATAAACGTAACAAGATACACTATGGTCATGGAATGGAAAACAATAAAATGGGAAATTAGATGACACGGTGAGTCGGTCGGGGTTGGTTTACAAAACATTTTTTGTATATAATAATTATTA